TGCAATTATATGGGACATTTGGTTTTTTACATAGACATTACATACATGCAAAACATAAAAATGTAAATGCTTCCTCAGTCTTTACCCCACAACACACTCTGCAAAAACACTTACCCTCCCCCCAGAGTTGGAATGCAGGAGCTTGTTAGGCAAGTGCTCTACCACTGAGATATGTCCCTAGTCCTCTATAGAACCTCTTGAGTAGCTTTACTAGTCAGGTAGGCACAACAGAGTCAGTTGTGAAACATTTTTAGAATATTGATGACTGGGCCTCATCTTAAACCTATTAACCAGAGTCTTTGAAGGAGCAGCCTCTCATGCTGCTTTATCATTTAAAACAACAGCAAACCATAAAAATTCCCAAGTGATTCTGTATGTCTATAGATTGGGGTGTTCTAATAATTCTGTTACTTGGGCCTACCACCAGTATTTCTGACATTCAGAAGTAGGGCTCTGACATGGATATTTTTCAAAGCTCTTAGGTGATTCTAGTGTGCATCCCTAATTAGCAAAACTGGTATAGGGCTGTGAAGCATAGTTTAAATAGACAGAGGGTCAGAAGGACCAGCATAGCAAAATATGACACTAGAGACAGGGAGCAGAGGATGCGTATTTCTCTCATGATCTGTATTGTTTATCTTTGGAGGTTTTTTGCAAGAGAGTGGGGGAGAGTATCTAGCAAGGATGGGTTGTGCTTTAATAAACATTTGCTTGGAAATTGAGAGTGTAACCCTGGCCATGACTTGGTACATATCACATGTTCAAGAGAGTGTTGTATTGTGTTTATAGTTTTCTTAAACTGAAGTTTTTCCACCTTCTGTGTTTTCAAGAGTGAATGTCTATTGCTTTGAAAAACCCTCAAAAAGTGTTATAAAGAAAAACCTGAAGCCTATCCAGCTTTTCTAGTCAATTCTGGGTACATACATGAACCCATCTTATTTTTACTCAGTTTTTGGGAGAGAACATGAGGATAAATAAACTGAAAAAAATTTAAGCTTTCAATTTTAAAATTTCAAACAAGTGTGAAATATTAGTGAGTTTTCTTACCATGAAAAGTAGACGCAATTCTTTAAAACTTATCCAAGACTAGTATCAGCTGGTTATGCTGCTGACATGCCTCTGTGCTGTGTGTCAGAATTCTGTGTGTCAGGAGTTGTAAGTACTATAATAGACTAGATAGTAGGTATTTTAGGTTTTGCAGGCCGTGTGGTCTCTATCACACTGCTAGACTTGGCTGGTGTAGTTTCAAAGTCACCATAAACAATATGTGAACAATATGTTCCAATGAAACTTTATTTACAAAAATTATGTGTGTAGGATTTGGCTCAGAGACCGTGGTTGACAGACTGTTATTCGGGATCAGAAAAGTGCACCAATACATATATCTTGATTTTTTTTTTAACCTGTCTGATCCTTAATTTAAAATTTCTTATGTTTTTATACAGATTCTTGAAAACAAAAATGTGAGATATGTATATTTCTTGCCAATAAGTATTTGTTTTGTTGGTAGTGCCAGTATACTTGGCACTTTGGTGTTGTAAAAAAGAGCACTGTCTGCTTAATTAGTATTACTTAAGAAAAATAAGAAAATGTGAAACTACACGTTATTTTTGTGGAATAGTATTGTTTTAGATACTTATGTTTTAGTATCCTTAAATTTAAACCTCAGTGTATATAATTTTCTATTTGTACTCTTCAGGTTTGGGAGATTCAGAATATACGTACTTCTGTAATGGAGGGAAAGTCATTGATAAACGACTTCAGGAGCTTGGAGCTCAACATTTCTATGACACCGGACATGCAGATGACTGTGTAGGGTAAGAGCAACGTACTTCCCTTTTTTTGCCAGTAAACCCTTATGTTTACACAGTGAAAGGAACTTTATAAAACATGTTAGCAATGGGTTTAGCATGACAGTTTCAGCTTGAGAGTAATATTGTAGTTTTAAGATTTTGAGCTCTAGGATCCTAAAAGATCAACCAGAGCTTGATTTATTTTTTCTGCTGATGTTTGTCTCTTCCTTCGTGGTATGTGTTAATGAACAAAATTAGGAAAGGTGCTCCAGTACAGTTACCCTTTATCTTGAAGTGTGCAGGTATTTGTGTAAGAATCACCATTTTCATTAGGGTAGTGAGTAGGACTCTTCTCTGCTGTGTACACAGGGAGTCACTGGATGAGTTCAGTTGTGAGCGCCTCATGTGGACAGAGCCATCAGGCCGAGCACCATTGATAGGAGACCTCAGTGGGCCTTCACCCCAGACCGCGTGTCATTTTGTCACTTTGTCTCTCACCATCTTAATTGCTATTTGCTGCCATGCTGGTCTTTCTTTTTTCATTTCTTTTATTCTTATTTTTACAAGTCAGTAGTTTACCCTGTGCACAAACTTTCAGATAAATCCTAACATGTTTATTCAAAGGTCTTCCAGCTTTTACATAATTTATTCTACCATTTGGCCTTGAAATATTTTTATTTTAGCCAGATAACAGCACACACACATATTTTTAGTAGATGCATATATTAAATAAATTTTTATTCACTGCACTAATGAATAATTTTTGTTTATGAAAAATGAGAAATTCAGCAAACACCTTGCTTCTCTGCATGTTAGCGCCATTCATATGTGTAGTGGTGAATCTTCTCATATTTCGCCTTATCTCACCCTTCGTGCCCACTCCTTCCATCATTTTCTGCAGCTCTGATGCTGTAGGTTTTTCCTTATCTCCAGTGTACACGTTCTTCCTCATTGTGACAAATCTCTGTGACCTTTTCTTGCATATTACCTTTTACTTTTTTCTTTTTAATTTGATCCTCCTTTTTTTCCAGAACCAAGTTGACATTAACATTCAGTCTTATGTGGGCTATGTTTAATCAATAATATAATGCTTATATATTATAGAATAGGCTCATTTTTTCTCGTTCCATATTTCACATCTCTTTAAACACTTTTGTCTTCTCTGCCCATTTGTTGGATCAAGTATTAAAATTCTCAAATGTATTTCAGTAGTCTTGTCCCTTTTAATACTTTACTTGAATTTTTCCCTTTTCTAAAATTAAGGTGTTTTTCAGAAGATGCCCTTGCTTAAGGCCCACCACACTTAAAGAATTAGGAATGCAGAATCCAAATGGCTGGTTTCAAATCCTTGATTCACCACTACTGACTGAAACCTTGTTTGCTTAAACTAACAGCTAATGGTATTTACTTTGTAAGATTGTGGATATGTTTGAAAAAATCAGTACAAGTTTCCCTCTTAGAACTATGCTATCATTTAGTAGGCACAATCTCTTTATGATTATAGACACCAGCACCTTCATATTTCTGAGTTCTAAGACTAATTGTAATAGTTAAATGTAACTGTTATTAAGCCCGTATTTTATGAACTTGCTTTCAGTAAGGCTGCTTGGGGTAAATACAACGTATAAGCAAATTTGAGCTATGGACCACATGAACCCCTAATTAGCACAGCGAAATTGTAGTCTGAGTCATAATAAGACAAAATTCTGAAATGTGTCTTTTCATAGTCATTTATCTTAATGAGTTAGAGTTTAATTGATACCGCCTTTGAATTCAGGTGGAAAGTGATAAAAATGTTATTTCTAGTGCTCTGACAAGTCTCTCTTACTTATGCTCTCTATTTAACCTCAGTTCAGTCAGGCAGTGTTGGGAAAGTTATTGTTGAGTTATACTTTGTTAGTATTAACTGGAGTTCTGCATTTTTTAAAATGTACTTATGATTAATTTAGATTTCATAAAGAATGACCCCTTTCCTTTCCTGAGGTTAGCTTCCTGGAAATTCTACCCCGTAAAATTATTCAGAACTGATAGAAAGGTTTGAACTTTTTAGTTAGTTAAAAAAAACTTGGCATCAATCCATAGTGGTTTCTTGGTGATATTTTACTTTCTAGACAAAAGATAAGTAAATCTGTTAGGCAAAAAAGATGAGGCATTTGATTGATGTGACAAATATTTGCATCATTAGAGTAGCCTTGGAATTTGGCTGAGTTCTCTTAGCCTCATTAGAATTTAGCATGCCTGTTTAATTATAACTAAAAGTAAAGATTACCTAGTATTTTAGGAAATTAAGAGTGATTTTATTTCTATTATTAATATATTTTCATGTCCCATTTTATTTCTTTGACCTGTACATGTGCTTATATTTTTACAGCGACAGTGCTAACAAAAACATATTAATGTTCTGCTCTTTAAAACTTAATCTTTGATGAATATTTTTTTAATTCTGAGTAATCTTTATCCGACTATATTTTATACAATTGCATATAGTATTCTGTCAGATGGAAGGACTCTGCCTTTATCACATTACTCTGTTAAAATGGACAACTTAGGCATTTGTATTTTTTTCTCTCCTTTTTTTAATTATATGCCAGCTTAGAACTTGTGGTTGAGCCATGGATTGCTGGACTCTGGGCTGCCCTCACAAAGCATTTTAAGTCAAGTAGAGGACAAGTGGAGATCAGTGGAACTCTTCAAAGGGCATCGAATACCTCCTTGAGGACTCATCCTGTAAAGCCAGAGTTTTTACACATTGAATCACAAGTGGAGCTTCTGAAATTAGATGATTCAGGAAGGAAGGATTCTGAGGTTTTGGAACAAAATGAAACAAACAGGAGTCTTTCAAGTGCTCTGATAGAAGACTTTGAATCCTCACTTGTCCGTTCAGTACCCCCACTTTCACAAGCCTCTTTAAGTATTCCTGTGTTACCCCCAGAATATTTGCAGGTGCATCTGCGGGAGTCTCTTGACCAGGTGAGCAATTTACTGTATGCCCTATGCTTAGTGATGTTATTTGACCATGGGTGTTTCCTTTTTATTATTATTACATTAGAATAGAGGTCCACAAACTACAGCTCCACTGCCAAAAGTGAATGTGACCCATTGCCTCTCTTTTGTAAATGAATGTTACTGACACGCAGCCACACCTGTTTTTCAACACTGTGTCTATGGCTGCTTTTGAGCTGCAATAGCAAAGTTGAATGGTTACCACAGAGGTCTGCAAAGCTGAAGGCATTCACTGTTAAGCCCTTCCGGAAGTTTGGCCACCCACGTATTATGGAAGGGCTTGCATTATAGATCAAACATCCCTACCATAGAATGCTCTGAAATTAAAACCTTTCTGAGTATTGACACGATACCACAATTGGGAAATTATACACCTTACCTCTTACGGGTTTGAATCAAAATGCAGTGCATTAAAAGTATTGCATAAAATTACCTTCAGACTGTGAACAGGTGTTTGTGAAACATAAATGAGTTTTCTGTTTAGATGTGGATCACCACAATGCCTCGCTATGGAGCTATGGGTGCAGCCCAGTGGTAGGACTTGCCTAGCATGGGCAAGGCCCTGTGTTCAATTCCCGGCACCACAGAATAGTAAATGGAGTTGTTTATTTAAAAAAAAAACTTCATTATGTATATGCACACATTCCAAATCCAAAATACTTGTCCTAAGCACTTTGGGTAAGAGATACTCAATCTTTAAAGAAGTAAATGGTTTATTTTGCAGAGGTCTCTGCACAGTCTTAATGTATCCAGGGAATTTTTGCCCTTAATGGGAACATGTGAACATTTCTGCAGACTCACAGGATTCAAGGATATCTGGGGATTAAGGATTTTCTTCCCTAATCAGAGGTAGTCCTTAGCTTTCTTGGCCCTCAAAGTCATGGCTACAGGAGATGAGGGATACTTTGTAACCTACTGAGGGTATTCTCTGTTTCTCATACTTAGCTTTTAATTTTTGGCGAATCATTCCCACTTTTTGGATTTTTTCCATGTGTGAGTTAAGCTTAGCAAAGGCCTCTGCCAGTCCCATAGGGTTTTCTCAAAATTGATCAGCTCTTTAGAGTTGTCCTGAGTTGGGGCAGTGGGGCTGGGCTTTTATAGCCATTGAATAGTTACTAGATATGGGCTGCTTCTGAAAGAAGGTGTGGCTGCATCACGGTGTGACCTGAGCGTGCTTGGGTGATTCTTCCCAGCCCTATCCTGACTCCCAGCTTCCCCATAGCAACATAACAATTAATTGACTGGCACTTGTTAAATTGTTTCCTGTTTTCAACTTAGTGATATCAAGTTAAAAACAGAAATGAGGGACAATACAAAGAATTGTTTTCTTTGAACTTTCCCAAGACCTGTGATGTCCAGCCATGTATAGCTGCTTCCATTAATGAACAATAGTTACAATTAAGAATTAAGTTACAGTACCCATTTTTCAAGGGGTGGGCACCTGCATGACCAGCACTGCCCAACACCAGAGGGCCCAGTGACCATCAGTATAGAAGCATTCTTATCTTGAGTGGTCCTTTCCTTTAAAATCTCCTCCCTGAAATTCTGACATGTGTACTGTTTCTCTTTATATATTTTGTTAGGAATACCACTAGACCATTACATGAAAATGCTAGTATTAATATTTTTGTTTGTTTTACAGAAATTCTAATGTCTAATAGACAAGGAGTTTTAAATATACATGAGCTGCTTTTCTGAAAATTGAGATCTATATGTCTGTACCCATTTTCCTTATAAATGAACACTCAGTAGCCAACGAATTTTGTAAGATCCTCTAGATCTTTCAAGATCATTAAGTGAGGGAAGAGTATAATTGAAAATTATGTTTAGTTATACTTTATCGCTTTTGTTTTTCAAGGAGGAAAGCCAAGTATCTATGACGTCAGTGGGTCCAATTTTTCAAGTTCCAGTTTCAAAAGCAGTTCAACTTACTACCAATGATGCCATAAAAACCACTCTCCTGCTAGAATTGGACATTTCAGTAAGTTACGGATTTGTTTCTTGGCAATTACATTCTCAAGATACATGGATCCTTGTGTGGTGCTTAGTTACATACACTTGGGAGAAGGAGAGGTCTGACAGGACACCTGGCCATTTTGTTCTTGATCCATCATGTTTTCTCCTTGAGTTGCCCTCTTTTCTTTCCATTTCAGGGAAGGGATAAGTGAGGAATGACTTTGCAGGTAAACGGATGGAACTGGAGAACATCATCTTAAGTGGACTTAGTGAGGCTCAGAAGGCCAGAAGCCACATGTTCTCCCTCATAAGGATTGTAGACCGAAAACAAATGCAGCAATGTCATGGGACACTAGTCACACATGGGAGGGATTGGGCAAGGGGAAGGAAACTAAGAACTTGAAGGAGATTGATGTGCTCTCTGTACAGAAATGAATATAAAAATCTTAAACTGGCTGGAGCCAATATGGGAAGTGAACGAGGGAGTAGTGAAGAGGACTGGAAGAGGTGAATCAGTTGGGGCTGTAATACACATATGCATGCGAACAACACAAGGAAACTCCCTGTGTAGCCATCTTTACGTCAAACTAGCAAGAATGTCATGTTTCTCATTTCACCTTTTATCTATTTTCTTCTACAAAATTGGAGAACAGGAGGGCAGAATAGGTCGTACAGAGGGCAGAGAGGCAGAGAGTGGTGGAAGGGAGGGGGAAAGGAAGTAGGAGGGTGAATACAGTGCAAATAACGTGTGCACATGTATGTAAATGCAAAAATGACACATATTAAAACTGTTCCAGGAACGGGATGGAGATAAAAGAGAGCAGTGGAGGGGGTGCACTCAAGTAAGATATATTTTATATTACAAGAATATTTGTAAATGCCACAATGTACCCCACCCAGCACATCAACAAAGGAAAAAAAACAAAAACAAAAACATGAGGAATGACTAAAGGTGATTCAGCAGAGTAGACTTGCTGACTTACAAGCCACAAAAGAATCATGGACTCAAAACAGCATTTTGATAGGAGAGGCCCTTTGAAAGGAAGCTGTTCACCTAAGATCAGCCAGCTAGTTAAAATAAAACTCAAGACTAGCCAATCAAGTAAGGGTTAACTTTTCAGAGTAGTGGTTCTGATTCCTGGGAGAATCTGGAAGAAATTATGAACTCTGTCCAGAAAAATGATTGTACAGAAACACTTGCAAACAGTTTCAGGGGGTTATGCACTATTTCTCTGTGCACAGTCCATGAGCCCCTCCTCCTGCTGCTGCAATCCGTGGACCTCAGGGTAAGAAACTGAGTCCTGGAACTTCAGTGCTCCAGGACCTCGTCACAGTCATTTAGCAAACTGGGTGTTTTGATGAAGGTCCTGAGACATTAAGCAGGTTGCTTTTAGAAAAATAAAATCACTTTAAGTTTGTCTGTGTAGATCTCATTAAGCTGCGTAATAGAAAAAAGATACAGGAAAGGCATCAAAACTACATTGTTTCGATACTATTGAATGTGTTGGTAATCTATATTATTAAGTATTTTTGCTTTATACACCAAAGCATTTTAATTTTTATTCTGATATTCCACTTTTTTGTCGTATAAAAAAGCAAGGGTTAGCCAGTTGCTAAGTCAAGCCTGTCTCCTTTGCAGGCCGGGAATGTGAGCAGTTCTCTCCTACCCCAAAGAAAGGAGCAAAGTAAAACCACCGCAGATGGTCTTAGTTTCATTTAGTGAGAATGTGTATGCATGTGTGCGTGTGCATGTATGTTTTTAGAAGAGGAATTTTTACATAGATTATGGTACCTTTGTAGAAAGTGAGGGAGGTCTGATTTGCATTCGGCAAGTATGCAGTAATAGAAAGCAAAACATTGCATAATTACCAAATTTCTTTTTAAGGTAACAGCTAATAAAAATATGTTCATTTGATTAATTGAGCTTATTTCTTAGTTTCTTTTTGGGATTGGAATTCTTTACTATCCATGTTCCTCTATTATTTTCTTTTTTGTGTTTATTAATTGTACATAATAAGGGTTTCGTTTTGACGTTTCCACACCTGCATACAATGAACTTTGCTCCTGTTCGCCCTCTATTGCTTTCTCTCATAAAACGGTCATATAATGAAAACTCCGTGTTACCTCACAATGTAAGCTCCTTCACTCATGAAGATTTTTCTCCTTTCATTTTGGTTCTTCTCTAGGAAACTTCTTTTTCTTATCAGCCTGGAGATGCTTTCAGTGTGCTCTGTCCAAACAGTGATTTCGAGGTGCAGAGCCTACTCCAAAGACTGCAGCTTGCTGATAAGCAAGAGCACCTGGTCCTTGTGAAAATCAAGGCACACACAAAGAAGAAAGGTATGGCTGACGCTGGACATGCTGGGGGTCAGTGGCTAGCAGCCTGGAACTGACCAGCAACAAAGCCACCATGGCACCGGGGCTCAGACACATGTTAGGGGCAGAGGGAGAATGTGCACATGTTGAGGGGTGCACATGTTGACACATGCAATTGTGTTGTCAGTTTCTCAGTGCTCCCCTTAATTACACGGAATAGGATGGGTTTTGTGCCTATTGGACACTTGTGGACACAGAAAGGAAATGTCTCATAGCATGTCACTGCTTTTTTCTATAATCAAAGGAAGTTGTTTATTTTAAATTGTCAATATTGTTTGTCCTAAAATTGTTATTGGTAATACATAGTTCTGATGGAGCACTGCCATCTTTTACCTTTCGATTCTATAATTTTAGATAATTTTCCCTTTAATTGGTATATCTTGAGCTTATAATTATTTTTTAAGGTGATGTTTTTCTGCTGTATTTATTTGGGGGAATTTTTTTGGCTGATTAAAACATTTTGACAGCACTAACGTAAAGCACTGCAGTTAACTGTCATGAACCTCGTCTCTTGTCTTTTCCTGGAAAAGGAGCTGCCTTACCCCAGCACATCCCCGAGAGGTGTTCTCTCCGCTTCATTCTTACCTGGTGTCTTGAAATACGAGCAGTTCCTAAAAAGGTATTTCAGTCTTCTGTGGGTAACTATTTTTAAATGTGCTTAGCTCTGCTTAAGATTTGTTAAGTACACCTGTTTTCTACCTTTTGAAGGCTTAACAAATATAGTCTTCACAGCACGTTTTTAAAATTAGTTCCCAATGGTATGTGATATCTGTATGATTTTCATAACAAAGTATTTTTGTCATATTTATATTCATATTTTTGTGCTTTATACTATGAGATTCATAAAGTAGCTCTTGTTTTCAGCCTTATTTTTACTAGGGATGGACTTCATATAGCACCGTACACAGTGGTGATGCCTGTGTTATCCAGGTGCACGTGCCACCTTTCCTCTCATCGATGACAGGAGGCTTGTGAGAGTTCAGGGTCCCCCCTTTCCACCTCCTAAGTTATTCGATCTCTTTTATGTAATTCTACATAATTGCTGATGAATCAGAATTCTTTTGGAAAAATCATAAGTCTTTGGTATGTTTATGTTGGTGTTTAGATGAATGTGGAAATAGAACAGTCCACTAGAGGGCAGTATTACACCAGGAACTGTTTTAAAATTAATTGTAACTATTTTTCTAAACATTTCCCTCAAATGGATGCTGATGGATAAGGTTTTTCTAAGTTGTATCTTGACAAACTTGAATTGTCACTGAGCATAAAGAGTGATGTTATTAGGGTGCCATCTTGTCCCTTAGTGCTGAGCTTATAAAAAAACACTTCACAATTGTCAAATAGATGTTGCGGTCTCTAATGTAATTATCTGTCATGACAAAAGCTATGTATTCTGAAATAAAGTCTTGAATTGTGAGATTTGGGGATCATACTCTGAGGCACCTGATGTGTTCGTGAGACCAGTTGATTAGATTGCTTAGAACAGAGGAAGTGGTCATAATCCCAGGTAAGTTCTAACTGAATATTCAGAGTCTGCAGGGTTTTTTTTGTGTGTGCGTTACACTGTTTCTTCCTTTCAGTGCTAAGTATTGAACTCAAGGCCTCTTGTATTCTGGACAAGTGTTCTATCACTGAGCTACCTCTGACCCCCACAAGTGACTATTCTTATAGCCTTAACTTAAAGCAGGCCATAATTGATATTGGCTTCCTTTTCTTAGGCATTTCTGCGAGCCCTTGTGGAATGTACCAGCGATGGTGCTGAGAAGCGGAGACTGCAAGAACTATGCAGCAAACAAGGAGCTGCAGATTACAACTGTTTCATACGAGATGCCTGTGCCTGCTTATTGGACCTCCTCCTGGCTTTCCCATCCTGTCAGCCACCACTCAGTCTCTTGCTTGGTGAGTAGTCTCTTTCAGGTCCACGATAGTTTTTGATGCACTGCGCTGTAAGCATCTTTATAATACAGGAAACTTGCTGCTCATGTCTAACGCTGAATTCTATGCAGATGTATTGGGAGCATGTCTGAATGAATGGTGATTGGTAAGTAAACATGTGTAGGTTCATGTTGCAGAGACAACTGAGCTGCCTTCTAGGAGCCAAACACGCCTTTGGATTTCCTCATTATTATTCTATCTATGTCGCTATCACTTTCTCTGTTAACATAGGAAGTCTTAATTTTTTTTCCTTAAAATTCAGCATCTTTTCTAGTTTGTTTTTTTCAGAGAGGTTATTTGGCTATATTTTATCTAAAAATGGTCTTTCTAAGAAGAAAATGGGTCTCTGTCAAAGATAAGCAACATCAGATTTAATTAACAGTAGCTAATGAAGCATGACCTCTGTGTGTAGAATGTAGATGTGCTCCCACTAAGGCAAGTCTAGATTTAGGGTCTTTCAAGAGCAGAAGGGACTTCTTATGTCATGCTAGTATAAGTTGACATTCTTTGGGTACTTGGAGCATATCCTCTGATTTCCTCAAGTGGTTCTTAGCCAGATCTCAACATTTACGTGTGTCTGTAGTGACACGGAAACCTGTAATGTCCTTCTTAGTGTTAGACCAGCAAGGACTCTCTTGATGTTTGTTAGTTTTCTTTTCTCTTTCTTCTTCCCCACAATGGTTAAAGCATTACTGAGGATGTTGTTCTTCAAGTAGGTGCTCTGATGCTTTTCAGTTCAGTATTTTAGAGCTTGTAGGGCATTGAAGTCTGTCAGAATACAGGTCCAGAAGCATGGGAAGTCTTGGAAGTTTGTCTACCATACATGAACGTGTTTCATATTTTTCCTTTCTTGTGTACTTCCTGTTACCCTTTTAATTATTTATAAAAATACATTTTATGTAATTATGTAACATATTAATAAAACTATCTAAAATTAGCAATTAGAACCTATAAAACTTAAATTTTCTTTAATTTTAAGAAATTCAGTTTTTTTAAGAACAGTTGATAAATCTAAAGTTTAATGCTAACACGGGCCCTTTACTAAATCTTATTTTCCAGTATGTAGGAAAATTTCAAGATGTTTTGCATAGATTGAATATTTTAAATATATTAAGTATATTTACTTATAATATTTGTTAGCATAGAGTTCAGATATCAATAATGTAAATTGCTTTACAAGAGTATTTATGTTTTGAAACCACTGGGTTTCTGGATAATTTAGTTTAAAAATTCCTACCACCACATAAAAATCTTTTCATTTTACAAATACAAGAAGGAAAAGTATGATATGTCCCTAAATATTTCCTGTAATCCTTAAAACAGTAGCTTTTAATTTTTTTGAGATTGCGACTTTATTTTGAACAGAAAACCAGACACTTTCCCTGGAAAGTGTCACATGAAAGTTTAATGACTCTGAAGCCTACTTCTGTTAACTCTGGCTTATGAGACCAGCATTTCGGGAGAAACAGTGATTTCAGAGCTCAGGCAATGCATATCTAACTAGAACATTACTTTGAATACTCTAAATAAGAGCAAATGGAAATTTAGGCTTCGAGTTGTTTTGACTTTTGGAGCTGAGGCTATTTTTAGCAGCAGTGATTAATAATTGCTTCTTTTATTTTTTTTTCTAGAACATCTTCCTAAACTCCAGCCTAGACTATATTCATGTGCAAGGTATTAATATTTATTAACATAACTATATCATCTTTCCCCAAGTCTTATGAAACCCAGTCTTCCAAATCCTTAGCGACTACTAATTCATTCAGTGGTAACTTCCCTGATTTGTGGAAGACAAGGGTGATGAAGAGCCACAGGACTCCTGTCCTCCAGGAGCTCACAGAGTTCAAGATCCTGAGTGGCTCTGTGTCATTCATTATGGTTCTTCTACCTACGGCAGTAGGCCTTAAGGGCTTCCACCTTCCCTGGGCAGTGGAGGAGGGCAGATAGGGAGAGAAGTTCAAATGTGGAACATCCCATGAGTGCTGGCTTAGAGGTTCAGGCCTGACTCCTCACTCTAGCCTTCCTTCCATTGCTCAGCCTCTGTCCCTTTCCCATTGGGGATCCTCCCATGCCTATCCACAGTGGCAGTGCAAGAAGGCACACTTGAGGGAATGAGAGCTAGCCCTGCACTGCGGAGCATCTAATTTGAAGTGAAAAGAAGTGTGGTTTTGTGGAAGTGTCATTTAAAAATGATTTTGAACTTTTATTTTTCTTCAGTCACTTTTGAATTTTGTCACCTTAATAAATGACGTGGGATATTTTCAGGATTTATTCCTATTCATTCAAATGGTGAGTCTTTTACATGAAGAGCCTTAGGGCATCTCAGTTTTTATAAGTCTTAGCTAGTATTGAAGAGGAACAAATGGAACTGGAAACTTTCCTGAATGATATCCCAAGAGGGAGGCAGCGGTTAATTGAATAAGATTGCTTTCCTCTCTAAGTAGTGGCAAGGTAGAGTAGAGCCCATTAGGAACTATTCTTCCACTGCAATTAAAAAAAAGAAAAGATTAATTTAGCCCTCATATGTAGTATTCCTAATGCAAAATTTGAAACTTACCTGTGTGTCTTTGCAGTTCAAGTTTACTTTATCCAGACAAGCTTCACTTTGTTTTTAACATTGTGGAGTTTTCATCTGACACATCAGCGGTGGTTCTGCGGAGGGGTGTTTGCACAGGCTGGCTGGCCAAGTTAGTGGCCCCAATTCTTCAGCCAAACACACAAGCATCCCATGCAGACAGCGGAAAATACCTGGCTCCAAAGGTACTAAAGTAGTGTGCAATTGAGCTCTATTAAAGTGTTCTTTGCCTGACTCGAAAAGCAATGGAAGTCCCCTACATTGCCCATCACTGCTATTTATTCCAAAGGAAATGTATACTGTACTTGAATTTTAAAATCTCTATTAGAAGGACAAACATTATTTACCTTCACTTACAATCTTTTTCCAGAATTTGTAAAGCATTAATTGTCTTGATCAGTCTGTTCTCGGTTATACTATTCATAGAAAAGACAACCTTTTTTGTGAATATTCTTGGTAGACTGGTCTAGGGAAGGGTGGAGAAGGGTCCAGGAAGGATTGAAGGATGGTGGTGGATAGTTGTATTTATGTCCAGGCTGAACCCCATATTCCAAATAAGTAATTGTATATTCTCTAATTTGGAGCAGTAGGATTTCTTCCCATCCCTATTTCTCCCCTTTTGTCATAGTACTGGTATGTGTTTGAGTGTGTGCTATTAATGGGGAAATTACCTAAGAGAAAAAGGTGTTGTGATTTTCTGAATGAGCCATGGATACATTCACCCTGCATTCAGTGGCATCTTTTCCATGTCAGCAGCAGCACACTTGTCACCACATGCATAGGGAACAATTGAAAGTTGTCCCTCCTTGTACGTAAGCATGGTTGAAATCAAAATAACACAATCTCAGGCTTTAATCATGAAATGTTCTTTCTTCATAGAAGTGATGAAGTTAGTCTGTCATTTGTAGTGCCATGTCAGGTTTGGCTTCTTTAATTTACTGGAGTTAAAAAAGTGTGATGACCTTGAGAATTCTAAAGGGAAGACAGAGTACAAAATTGCCTTTTACCTGGATATTTCCCCATGTCCTCCCCAGGACAGAGGTGCTTTACATATTCATTAAACATGACATTGATTATACAGCAACAAAATGTTAGGAAATTAGAAATGTTCCTTTCGCAAAAGGAAATGTTATAATGCTGATATAAAAGTTCTGTCACTTTGTGACTGCATAAAAAGAGCAGATGATCTCCAGAAAGATAAAAGTCCATAATGTACAACAAACACTAAGCATGGATGCCTGATACATCCTCTTCCCTTCTTCCCTCATCTCCTTTCTGCTCTGTTTTAACAAATTTTTACTGACTAACCAATATGTAGGCACTAGAGGTGCAGCTGAGTACTGCCATTTTTCTCAGAGTGCAGAAAATGTTGGCCTTTGATCTGCTACACATTCTCCCCGAGCTGTGGCAGCTTGTACAGCTGTTCACAGAATCACGTCCTTTCCCCAGTTCTGTCCAAGAGAGGAGCAGACTCTCCCACCCCTGCCTGTGAGCAGTGGCATATGCAGATGAGTGCCAGGACTCTGGGTGGCATGGCCGCTTGCTTCCCTTGATCTTCTCTGCCTTAAGAACAGGTGTGATCCATGGCAGGAGTGCAGCCCACCTGCTGTCCCTGCTGTGCTGTCCCTGCTGTCCTAGGACAGGGAAAGCTTTGGCTCTTGTGCTTCTCTGCCAGGACTCAGCTCCACTGTGGCTGACATGCACTTGATGCGGGCCTCTGTCAAAGGCCCCCAGAGGTCGAGGCTGTCTCTAGCATTTGTGTCTGAATTGGCAGCTCCCTGCTGTGGCCATCCTTTCTTCATTCTGTTTAATCTTGCTTAATAAGATTTGCATCACCCACATCCTATGGATATCTGTTCGTTTATTATGCCTCCTCCTACTGGAATGTAAGTTCCTTCAAAATAGTGACTGCTTTGTTCGTTTCTCTATTCCTAGTGCCTATCACAATGAAGTTCTCTCAGTAAAACTGTTAAGTGACTAATCAAGTGAGTCTGGCTACTGTCATAATAATTACAGCTTCATCCCCAAAGAAGAAGAGTTATTAGACATAGCTCTGCCAGTCTTCCATTTAGAAGGTGTGCTGTCCAAGCTATTCCAGATCTTCCTATAATTTTCCTCAAATTAAAAGTTAGAATGTAAACCATATGTGGAGTACCTACCTATAGTCCTAATACTGGGCCAACTGAGGCAGAGAGATCAAGAGTCCAAGGCCAGCTTGGGCTATGTTGTAAAACCCAATCTCAAAAAAAAGTTGAAATGTGTGACATTATTCTACCATGCAAGATAGAACAGAGTCCTGTCATTCCTATTCGTACTGTCACTCAGTGTGACCTGCACATGTGATGAAGTGAAGCTGAAATGGAAACATTTTCACAAACCAGTTCCTTTGTAAGTGTCCTTGGCACATGAGTTGAAAGAAAAGTCTTTTGAAATGTTAAGACTTCTGACTTTATACAAACAAATGATTTCGGGTAATATTGGACCCAGAATAACAAATATGTCACAATTGTTTAGAATCTTTGGAGCAGCTTCTTAATTTCTATTTTGGGTTGCCTTATATTCATTTAAAACTTTCTAACCCCATCTTGATATTTATCTCTACTGCCATACATATGTAGACATGAAGAACTGTGTCTTCAGTTTTTGATGTATTTCTCTATAATATATGTTGTTTATTGCCTACTAGAAAGCAAGTCTTATCTATGGGCCTAGAATAACTTTATTTCTATTCAGTGTTCTCGAAAACACCATGCTTCATTTTTGATATGGGTAGAAAAGAAAGTTTTCAACACAAACTTCCTTATTTATCTGTAATGTCACTTGTGCACCTGGTTTTATAAGATCTAGTGCTGCTGTTTACTTAAACATGCTTCGCGGAGGGGAATTTACACTTTCTGACTTCCTTAGCAAAGATCAGCTGGGTTATATGCTCTTGCCTGGTTTTTCTTTCACACTCACCACAGCTGGTCTAATATTCCAGATATCCATCTCTCCTCGAGCAACAAATTCTTTCCACTTACCAAATGACCCATCGGCACCCATCATAATGGTGGGTCCAGGAACTGGCATAGCTCCCTTCATTGGTTTCCTGCAACACAGGTATGAGCTTGTTTTGGCTATTGGGGAAGTGTACCCTTTGTCATCCCGAGTGAATACATAATAACCTTTCTTGCTTTAGTAGTTTTTAGAATAATTGAACTTCATTTAGAATATTTTTATTTTAAGAATTATCAAATGTGTGATAGCATAATAATTTGTCACCATGGGAAAAATGAACACGGTATAGTTTGGGGATTGTTTTATGCTGAAGCGTTCTGTTTGGCTGTGGTACTGTTACTTTTCATTTTACTTTTTTAACTGTTCTGTGGTTTGTAGCTTATGCAGTTGGGAGTGAATTTCAGGCACACCTTTATGCTGTATTGAGGTACAGCAGATCCATCTATTTGTTAACTGGATAAAAGTGACAGTAACAGATTCAAGTACACCAAAATGTCCAAAGCTAAACCTCAGATATCAGCAATTTGAATGCTATTAATAGATATCAGTATCAGAACAGAGTATCTTATATAAAGTAAATTTATTGTACTTTCTTCCATGTTTGTAAAGCAGTGAACATATCTTACATACTGTTCCCCAGGCAGTGGAGTCATGTCCTTTAGACAATCATTTTGTTGTTTCAGTTTTTTTTCTTAAGAAAGCAAATCACATTGTCAGATGTACTCTGTGTCTCATAGAAATTACTCTAGGTTTCACAATGTGATGTTTTGAATTATTCTTTATAGGTATGTCATGTATAACTTGGGGATGTAAACAGCTCCTAGGTGCATGTTTTCTTATTATAGTGTCTGATGAGTGACCACGATAGCCTATACAACAATAATAGAATGTTATACAAGTCAACTTTCTGTCACTATAATGAAATACCTGAGGTAATCAACTTATAAGCAGAAAAGGGTTATTTTGGCTCACAGTTTTAGAGATTCCAAATTGATTGGCCCCTATTATTTTGGACTTGTGACAAGATCACACATCATGCTGAGAGTACACAGCAAAGCAAAACCACCCTCCTCGTGGCTAGGAAGTGAAGGAGAAGAGGAACGGACTAGGGTCCCTTTGGAAGCATATCCACAATCACATTCAGTATCCAAGCCCAGGGCTGTGGTGTAGATCAGTGGTAGAGCACAGGTGGCTTAGCACGTTCAAGGTCTCAGGTTCAATCCCTAGGCATGGTAGCAAAAAACAAAACCAAAGAAAATTCAAACCATCATTTGTTACTATATTAATTAAATGAATGAACTTTCAACAACTGTGAAAATGGATTTTACAAACTTCCATTTGGAGGTGGTGTTTTCTGATGAAAATTTCTTTTACACATTCTTTGTATCAGACATCTAAACTTTCTTTTTCTGTTAGAGAGAAACTCCAAGAACAACACCCAGCTGGGAATTTTGGAGCAATGTGGTTGTTTTTCGGCTGCAGACATAAGGACAGGGATTATTTATTCAGGTACTATATAGTTGTATTGTAGTGATGTTCAGTCATTCAGTGTACAGTTGTAAAGGTCAACTTTTTCATGTTTAAAGTACAGCCTTCCAGTGGCCTGTGATGTGTTCTGTTTCAGAGAGGAGCTCAGGCATTTCCTGAAGCGTGGGACCTTGACTCACCTGAAAGTCTCCTTCTCCAGAGATGCTCCTTCAGAGGAGGAGGACGTTCCAGCAAAATATGTGCAAGACAACCTCAAGGTCCACGGCCAGCAGGTGGCCAGGGTCCTCCTTCAGGAGAACGGCTGCATCTATGTGTGTGGGTGAGTGGGCAGCATATTTCAGCACCAGCTAGGAGGATGTGGCTGATGGGGTGATGGACACAAAGCACAGAGAGGCCAGCGATGTGGGTGTACAGGAGTAGAGAATCAGGCTCCAGATAACTTTAACACATTTAATAGCCAAGGTACCATTCTCCGAGACGTAATGGTGAAAGTTAATTCTTGCATTGGGGAGTACTTTGTACCATTTCAGATCCGTGTTTTTAGGCTTTAGGAGTTATATTTATCTTAAGGCCTTACCCATTTAACTTGAAATCTCAGGATTGATTTTGTGGTGTAGAAGAGTTTGTGATATGAACTATTGAACTAGCTTAGAGGGAAAAAGCATTATTTTGATTCTAAGAACATGGCTCAGACTAGGATCCTTTATTTTTAAGGCAAAAATGTATCATGCTAAAGTTAGCAGAAGACAGGAGTCATTCCTTTGTTACTAAGTCTGATCTCATTCTGTGGCAAAATCTGTTACAGAAACCCAGAATTGCCATGGAAAATAAAAATTTAAAAACTTAACCTGCTTCTTTTCATGAAATACAAACAATTCTGCTAATACAAGAAGTTTTGAAGTTCTGCTTTATGCCAAGCACTGACATGTGCTTAGTCAGGCTCTTCCTTTCTTTTCTGGTGCTGTGATGTAGAGGCTGAAACACTGAGACAGTGCTCCAGAATACTTAAAATTTATCTGAAACAGGTTTGATGAAATGAGACTTATTTTTTCTGTTTTGATGTTACATTCTGATAATTTCCTTTCTATTTTTTTTAATTTTACTACAGAATTAAAAAAACAAGCGGACTTTGGCAACAAACTTGATGTTTTAAACTCTTAACAGATTTTGACTCTCAGTTGAAAAACACTACAGAAATTGTGGACATTGTGTTGATTTACGTTTTCATTTAGCTTTTTGTGAAGTAATTGACCTTCACTTTGTGTATGGGGCAGGTGCCAACAGTGCTCAAACACAGGCTGAAGTTTTAAACGTACTGCTAAGAAGCAGAAACAGTTCATTATACCAATGTGCAAAACTGGTAATTGAGAACTCAGTGTCATTCATGTCCAAACTCTTGAAATATGTCCCCACAAATAGCTCATCCCCATCACTGGCTGGTCACTATATGCCTATAAAATGGACTTGAAAACATTCATGGTAGTGTTCAGAAAGAAGGGTTCAGAGTGAACCCTATATAACTTACCACTGACAAGTGGATCAGGGACACAGGAGCATTGGAGACTGAGGGGACTCAGCCACTGAGGAAGGATCAAACTTGTTCCCAAGCCCAGGACACCCTTCCCAGGGAGAAGGCACATGCTGCATATGGGTCAGGTGAGATGACAGGTGGGAGCTATTGATTTGACAGCATGGTGGCCAGTGGTGGATAGGGCCGCGGGGATAGCAGTTCTGGAGTGAGTGGCCACTGTTCTAGCGTTGAGCAATTATGGGGAGAGATCACATATACTCCCTGCCTTCAGTCAGCCTTCCCTGATGGGACAGTCCAGAAGCAATGTTTGACCTAAGTGCTCCATAAGGGACAGAGGGCTTGCAGGGGCTAGAACTATGACCCATGACAGTCCTTTGAGAAATCCTCAGTGAAAGTGTCTGTTGCTGAAAGTGGATCTGAAGGCTTTGGGGTAAAAAGAGCTGAGAGAGGAGGGAAGTGGCTGGGTGAGGTGAGCCCTTGACCTTACACATGGTAAAGCTTCAGTTTCTCAGAATGTAGAAGCCTGTGGCAGGTTTTAAGCTGCGAAACCCAGTGCTCAGCTCTGTATTTTCACATGTCACCTTGGGTGAAGGCCTGGCCTGGGATGAGTGAGGCTGGGAGACATGTGGGTAGGAAAACAAGGGAAGAACTAAGATGGAGGAGTCACAGGCACCAAAATATGTGGACTAGGACTTGGTAAAAATTCCTGTTTATAAAGGATGCCATCGTCTTCTCTTCTAGAGATGCTAAGAACATGGCCAAGAATGTAAACGAAGCCCTTGTGGAAATAATAAGTAAGGAGGTTGGAGTGGACAAACTAGAAGCAATGAAAACACTGGCCACTTTAAAAGAAGAAAAACGGTATCTTCAGGACATTTGGTCATGAAACTGGCAACTAAAGGGAGAGAATTAAGATATTTTGGCTGAAAATACTAAAAGGCAATTTTGCTGAAGCTGAGATTTAAGTCTTTTTAAAAAATTTTTAAATGTTTCTTGGAGGAGGTTGGATGGGAAGCAGATCTTTATTTTTTTCCCAGTGGTTTTGAGGTTTGAACTCAGGACTGCAGCTTGTCAAGCAGGCACTCTCATCCCTGGGGCCACAGCCCTAGTCCTTTTTGCCTTGTTACTTTTCAGATAGCATCTCATGTTTTTGTTCAGGTTGGCCTGGACCAGGATCATCCTGCATCGCTTGGCTGGGATTATAGAAGCACACCACCATGCCAGCTTTTTTTGTTGAGATTGGGGTCTCTTTAACTTTTTGCCCAGGCTGGCATCAAACCACAGTCCTCCCAAACTCTGCCTCCAGAGTAGCTGGGATTGCAGGTGTGTACTACTCCTTTTGCCTGGAGCAGATCTCTTAACAGTGTAGCAAAATTTTTGATGCAGTCGTGTGTGCCTCCCACCCACTTCCTCCCTGAACCTGTGTCCCCCACGTGGTATGCTGTTGCATGTAGGCTCTGAGAGCACAGGGACTGTCCTCACTAGCTCACCTGTGCACTTGCACATTGTGGAGAGCTTTTGAGACCTTGACCAGCCACAGGAGCTCTGTGAGTACGTGCCAAGGCTCCCCTGTACCAGGCGAGGGCATTAGAACTGACTGAGCTCATAACTCGTGTGAACTTAGGTTGCAGTGTTTGTTAAGTAATGTGAAAGTGATTTGTCATGTTTATATGAAATGTGATCATAAAGAATATTCATATTAACGTATTTAAATCACATATCTGTTGCATCTTCACATAATTATGAAATGGTGTTCATTACACAAACTGCATTTCTGATAAAACAATTTTATTTTTAAGGTAATCCCTATAAAATGGGCTTTTATGGTTCTAAAAATATGAAAGGTATTTTGAAGTTGTACTCTGTCATATATTTATCACAATTATTTTTAATGTCACAATTTCAGAATTTAGAGACACTTGTATTCAGTTTACAAATGACAGTATGTATGTATTTTGTAATGTTATAACCAGTTATCTTACTTAATAGTTTGGCATTTTAAAAACAAACCTCTACTTCTCAAAAGCTTCTGCTCAGTTTTTTTTATGTGCAATCCTTGAGACTGAACCCAGGCCTAGTGTTTGCTAGGCAGGTGCTCTGCCACTTGAGCCCTGCCCCCAGCCCTTTCTGTTTTAGTTTTGTTTTTGAGATAACTTTGTCCAGACTGCTTGGGAACCCAGTCTTTGTGCCTTCTCTTCTAAGTAGCTTGGAAGCTGGAATTAGAGCCTTCACTTTTGAGATATGAAGGTCTGAAAAAATACTGCATGATATTTAAGATTTGGTAAGGCCTGGTGGCTTTTTATATTATCTAATCTTGTTACTGCATATAGAATATCCAATACCAACCTAAAAAATAAAGATTATGACAACATAGCAAACAAATACTGTTACTGTTAGCTAATATCTCTGTATAGATTCTGTACATCAGCCAAGATAGACTTGAGGCAATATATTAAAAGGGTCAAAGAACAGTATTTCTTATTAATCAGTATAATAAGCCAGGTACAGCAGCTCATGCCTGAATTCCTAGCTACTTGGGAGGTAGAGATCACAAGGATTGCTGTTTAAAAGCCAGCCCAGGCAAATAGTTGACCAGATCATATCTTGAAAAAACCCATCACACAAAAGAGCTGGCAGAGTAGTTCGAGTGGTAAAGCACCTGCCTAGCAAGTGTGAGATCCTGAGTTCAAACCCCAGTACTGCCACAAAAAAAATAAATAAATCAAGAACTTGTGTTCACTTACCAGCGTTGTTATAAATATGTCTAGAAACTGACAAATAGTCATGATTGGTGTTGGAAAGTGACCCAAGCCAGTTTCCTCATACAGAACACCCACATTACTTAGATGTGGAATTTGAGGTGGTATTGATCAGCTGCTCCCCACACATTACCAGCTGCTGATGGTGAAAATAGATTTCAGTTGAAATGCTACCCACAGAGAAAGGTAATCATTAAACAAAACACACAAGTAGTCGGGCATCAAGCAGTTTCAAGGACCTGTCGTGTAAACTTGATGAAACTTCAGCCATGCCTCTAGGTGATCAAGATGCAGCTTGCATGGAAGTTTATTCAAGTCTGTTATTCTAGGGACGAGGT